TCAATCGTCATTTTGTAGAGCGTTTTTTACTGCATCTTTTCTTCATAGAGACAAATTTACAACCACTTGTTTCACTATAGAAAAATTTATTATTCAAATCGAGTCAGAACTTCTGGCCCACCCTTTAAGAGAAGATCGCCGGAAAATCTTGGTTTTTCAATGAAAAACCTTTCAAAATCTCCAAAAATAAATTTTTTTTTAAATCAAAATAAGTTTTTAGATAGAGTGCAATGTGCTCTATTCGATGAGTGCATCGAATAAAAATTTCAATTATCGTAGAATTTTTTTATAAAAATGATCCCAAGACCTGTAAGCTCAAAATCCAGGTTTTCCAGAATCCCATTATGAAAGTTAAAATAAAAGAAAACTGATAGTACCATTGGATTCGGCATGGTGCATAATCTTTAGGCCCTGGCTTTTAAGTTGCAACCTCGTCGTTTAAGCACTTTTCTGTTATTTGGAATTCCTCTAATTATTTCACTCTAGAACTGAAAAGGTTGGTATTAACAGAGTTTTTCTGCATACAGATAGGAAGAGAGTCACTGCCACTAGTGCATTTTTTTATGCACCATCGGTCACTTATGTTGCTTTGACAATGGCTCATGTGCTTATTCTGTTGAAAACATTGAAATAAGCCTGGCGATAATTCTTCTAAGAATAATTTAATTTCTGATCAATAAGTAAAATGCCACAATAATACCTCTCTCCGGCTATCTAAGGCACATTACATGTGCTTACATATGTGACCACAGGCGAATTATATGTACGTAGGTTTACTGGCAGTAGTTAGTAACTGTCCGTGTCTAAATGGTGCTTTATATCAAGTCATCCAATATATTTTACATGGAAAGCTGATCAGTTATACGTAGTTTTCAAGATATCACGATATCTAGTGTCGAAACGAAGCAAAAGCGTATCTGAGATAGCTTTACTTATATTTAGTTGAAAATTATAACGAAGAGAACAGAATAAAAATTCCAAACTATAGAAAACATTGATTTTAGAAGAATTTTCAATTCTATGATTTCAATGTTTAAAAATCTGGACCTATAGATAACTTTGCATGGTCTAAATTTCGATTAAGCTATGCATTGCCTTACGTATGCTCGATATTTCTATCAATCCGCTCTTAAACACTACCGATAATTAACCGAAATAGAGTGAAAAACATAGTTTGTATTGAAAATATAAATAATAATGCTTCTCTGCTAGAACGAAGTAAAATACATGTCGAAGTTATGTACAAAAAACGTGAAAAATTTGTACTTCTACTCAAAAGACATTAGTGTGTGGTTGTGATTTGTAAATGCTTGACCTATGTTCTAAAAAAAACCAAATGCTTGCTCAAGTACAGCAAGTGATTCTACATTTCATTCAGATATTGCTTGCAGAACTGTCTAACCGTTAATTATTGATCGATCATATTTATTGAAATGATTATGTGAAGTATTTAGATGATTCAGCATGCTTTCTTCAGATATTTGTGTTTTTCTTTCATTGACTTCATTGACATCATGATTTGTAATGTTCATAACTTTACACCTGACCGATGATGGCTTTATACCTTTGTCAATAAGTAAACTCGCAAAATTATGGCTCGGATCCAGTTAAAACACAAGGTAAACGTTTCTTCCTCTCAAAACTGTAACATAAACGATTGTCCTCGATAAATAGTCCTCTTTTCTTTTGCGTTCTTTTACTCAGACTGTTCTTCCTTAACATTTGGTGACATCTCAGACATTAAAAGTCCCTGATCGTTATGCTGATTTAATCTGAACTAATGCAAATTAGGACCAAGGATCGCAGATCTTCTGCTTATCTTGCTTCGCATCTGGTATCACTGATTAGGACACAGCTTGTTGACAAATTGCTTCCACAGATTAAACAACAGCACTCAATACGGATTTGTTTATTTATCCTGACTATCATATAAAAATTCAAGTTTTTTACGTTGAATATCAGTAGCGCATATCAGTAGAGATGTGCGTGGCCAAGGTTTTCAGATCACAGTAACTATGGTTACAAGAAATTTTTTCAAAGACCACACAATGAGCATCCAGGCGGATATTTGGTAAAAAATCGAAAGTGCGCTTTTTCAACATTCAAATAGTCAAATATACTTTGGTCTACGGACTATCTAATGGTAAAAAAGTTTTGCTCCAAGTGCTGATTTTCGGTAAAAAAATATATGCAAAAGAGCCTATGTCGACCTCCGGTAAAAAACATTTTTTATTAGACTAACGAGTAAGTCTATTTAAATTTGAAAACACTACATATTCTGAATCTAGACACCTTAAGCTATCTATCAATAAAAAATATTTTAGTTGGATCCTACAGTTTAGGAGAAAATAAATTATTTTCCGAACTAATACTGTTTCCGAAAAGGTGCTTAGTATGTAATGAAGTTCCATGATTTTCCAACCTCGAAACAGGCTCAAAATTATACCAAAATTTTTGTCGTCATTCCCTCTATCTATACCAAAGCACGAAAATGAGCATATTTATCGAAGTTGAGTTATTGGTTTCCCCCAAAACCCTGTTTTTTCTGGTGAGAACTATTTTCCTCAACCCATAAGCACTTTTACGGAAATGTAAGGTCATATTCGAAATCACCGCGTCGAGTTACATCGAATCATATGCAACACAATAAGTTTTGGATCCAGAAAATATCCGTGAAAACCTTTTCTCATGAACCAGCAAGTAAAGATCAATTTTTCGAAAAAAATTATTTTTTCCGAAAACGTTTAGTTTTTCTTTAAAAGCATCAGACGTGACTTAACAATGATAATTAAAAAAAAGTGGAGATCTTGTATGATTGTGCAAAGAAATGATAAGATCTTGAACGATTTCGTAAGATCATATAAGAATTCATCAGATTTTACAAGATTATGTCTGTGGTTCTGTCCTACAGATTTCCTCTTTAAAAAAAATTTTTCTTTTCATAATATTTTCCAGCATAGGAAGGACTCTGACGCCCTTAGGAGCGTGTCTAATCGCGTTTCTTATAGCTATGCGCTTTATTTGTGCTCAGCTGATGTGTTAAGCTGAAGAAAGAAAAATATTCTGAGTTTTGTCATAAAAACTATGTTATATGTCTACTATATACCAGAGCGTCTACTATATGGTCCTATTCTGGTCCTATTTTTTAGGGAACCGAACCATAACTTTTTGGGACCAGAACCACTTCGGACTATTTTCGATAATAAAATTTGGGACCACGATCAAGCGTACCATAAATTTTTCGGACTACTTCGGATCATGAAAATTGTTTTCCTCCTTTTTAAAGATTCATTTCTATTGTATAACCCAAAACTGTTTAATTTCAATTTTTATCAAACCTGAAAACAAACTATTTCTCAATTAAATGGTCCACAAAGCTTATCTGTTGATAAACAAAAAACAAAGAGATCTCTAAAAATATTTCCAATCAGGACTTGGTCCTGGATCGGATCATAGGGGGCTCTGCTATATACCGTGACAAAATTTCTGTGGTAAGAATGAATCATCACTCTTGTAACAAGAAATTGTATGATTTTATGATAAGAACTGAATATGAGCATACGCTCTTATTGACAAGATCTTGTGAGATCATGTGATTTCTTGTTACAAGATCTTATAAGATCTTAACATTTCTTATAAGCTGATCTTGTAAGAGCTTACGACAAGAAGTAAAATTCCGCAAGATCATACATGATATTGAAAAAGATTTTGTAGCAAGATTGCATAAGAAATCATCAGATCATATAAGGTCTTGTAAGACGTCTTTCACCTGGGTACATCTCTACGTATCAGCCAGCCGTATTTAACTCATTTCAGGTCCTTGCAATATGTAGCAATAATTTAATATTATCGATCTGTGGTGATTGAGACAGCGGAATCGGCTATGTGACATTAAAGGTAATGGCTTCGTTATCAGTGATATTCGACTGGTTTGATGTTGATACACTTCATTGATCTCATCCGGTCGTGCGGCTAATCTTGAAGAAATTTGAGAAACTTTGTTATGAATAATTTTTGTAATATTACGTGTAGAACGATCACTTTGGATGCTGATGAAAAAGTGGATTAGTATCAGACCTCTATATCAGATGGATAGGATAGTTTCAATTGGGAAGATGCCTGGTGTCTTCTTGTACCTTGAATTGACGAAAATACAACAGGTTCTCCCACATCACATCTTATACACTATATGCGTCATCACCTGTTATTTAATCCATTAAAGATATATTTGATATTTTTTGAAAATTTGCTTTTTTCCACATTAGTTATATCATAATTAAGTAAGACATTGGAAACTCTTTTTGAAAAGGTTCACCAACAGCACCTAGAGAATCCTTCCACATTTACCACAAACCTGACTGAAAAAAAATGGAGTTAAAATAGGCCAAAAAGAAAAACAGAATAAACAATTTTGTTAGGCAATGACACTAATGGAAACCAATAAATTAACGAACTTTAGCAACTTAAAATGGAAGATACATGCTTGGTCTTTGTCTATTTGAGGTAGGACGAACGACTCTTGATAATATGCATGCCATCACATGCTTCTTCACTCTGGTTACCTACCCGAATGACGATAGTGCGCAAAACACGTAGAGCTCTTGATTATAAAAATCAGCTGGTAGAATGAACTATTTCACGCTAATATTAAAAAGGTAGAATGTTCAACTGCAAGTGCATTAACATTTCATATTAATTTGCCATTGTTCGTATTTATTAGACTCATTCTTCTCTCATAGTAACAACGTTGCCTAGCACTCAATTTATTCTTTACGACTATTACACATCAAAAGAGAAAAGTCTGTACCTGTCGTAAAACAGGAAAAAATTATTTAAATTTCTAGTGAAATGAATTAAAATGTGTGTAAGAGAAAGGAGAAAAATATTTTTTTTATTCCTGCTGTTCCTAAGAGATTGTTGGTATAGCAGCATCCGTTTTCATTCTCAATCGAATAAAGTTACTGTGTGTATGTCGTCGAGACAACTCCAGAGCACAAAAAGAAGACAGTGAGTGTAGTCAGGTAAACGTAATTTTTATTCTTAACTGATTACAAGCAGCATTTACAGTTACCATAGCTGAACTTTTGACATTCCGTTGTCTTTCTTGACTACTCTCTTTTCTTCTGTTACTCGTTATTTATTATCGTTGAATTGAAAAATGACGAAGCAGCTGCAAGATGCTATTCTCTTCTTGATTTATCTGTCGAACAACATGAGGTAGATCAATGAAGAAATGAAGATCCGATACTGTCCTGTACTTATACATAAAATTTAAAGCACTGTACAATAGTGCGTCGAAATCTTAAATTAACACCCCAGTGTATGCATCGATTAACGGCCAGTGAGATACTGCAGGGGCTTTCATCCCCTCCCAGGGTTTGAGACCAATGACTCCTCTTAGCATTTCGTACCCCCTGAAAATATTCTCGTTTTTCATATAAAAGACAAACTCATCTTTCGCATTACAATGCTGTATACTTTCAGAACGTTAACTTGTAGTTTTATATATCGGTTTATGCCAAAAAAAGTAACACATTCAAGTTGCTCGGCAAAAATGTCTGATATCGGAGAAATTTCACTTCTAACATCATATGAACTTCTTTTACAATTTCTTAAAATTTAAATATGTATCCCCTCAAAATTTTCTTTGGGACAATTTGTCTCAAAGGTATCATAGGATGGAAGCCTCTGAAGTACTGTTTTGAACGAAATACTTCGACTGGAATTGTTTCCATCTGAAAGTCTGTGGAATTAACTGCTGATATATGTCCACAACTTTTACATTAACAAAAAAAAAAACACGATCATTTTCTTTTATCGATCGTACTGTCAACAAAACTAAATTCGTCATCCGTGCTATAAACAGATATAAACAATATTGCTATCTTACATAGAGGACGCTTTCTACATATTTTCTTTGTAGAGTATCTAGTAAGATCATGCAACAGACAAAATCTATGCTTACAGTAGAGCGATCTTTTTCCTAATGTTGTTTCAACCGTATCAATTTCTAATTGATTGTAGCTTTCCAATTTCGCCACAAATTCCATGGCTAGTTCTCACTCTGATCTTACAACAGACCGTCGATCATCTTCTGTACAACAATCAAACATACCAGTCAGAGTATGTATAAATACCTAAATTTTACTACTTCATTAGATAAAAAAGATCCGCCTTTCTCTTCCATCTCTTATTAATTCTAATTGGTTTTATTATTTTTCTGTTTTATAGAGGATTGATTCACCAATTTTATCTAGTTCCTGTACAATTTCTCCATCATCGTCTAAATTATCTTCATGTTCAGTTGCCAGTCAAGGCGCAAGAATTGTATCATCATCAAGTAGTGGAGCGCCTGCTCAATATGTCCTACAGACAACAAATTCAGGAAACAATGAGTCTCAAGGTTCTGGTCGTGTGATTATCGCCACTGCCCACACTGCTCCATCGCAATCGTTAATAAGTACAACAACAATAAAAACACAGAATACAAATGGTCAAGGACAAGTACCATATGTAGTGGAAAATAGTGGACAGTTTGTACAACAAAGTCAAACTTCAACGGCATCAAATGGAGGACCAGTGTGAGTTAAATGTTACTAGATAACAATTTATGATAAAAAATGACGAAAACGTTGTTGTATTAGTCTAACTCTTTCTAATCCTGTGTATATCGTACATACATCTTTGCTAACCACATACTAGTTTTTCGTTAAGTAACAGGAACTATGTTGTACGGCTTAATATAGTAAGTTTGATCTTGAACAGATAATTTGAGGTATATGAATATATGTAACTTAATACTTGGCGACGCCGGATATACTGCATGATAAGCACCTTACTGCTAAGATAAACTCCTCAAATGAGAATAAGGTGGGAATTATTTTGGTACGTTTTAAGAGTTAGAACTTAAAGTCTCTAGAGAGTAGTTGCCCTTTAGTTTACCGTTATGGGATTAGCTTTTTTTTCTATTTTAGTCAGTTTCAATTTAATTCAAGTAATGGTACACTATATACGGGAAGAAATTCATTTTTCCAGACGCCACCAAATGTAAGTCAAACACTATCTTGGTGTACTAGTATGAGTGATAACTTATAAGGTCCCGTTTAGCAACAAGTCGATACTTCTATAGATTTTCATTTGGATGAACCATGTTACATGTATCAAGATCATAACGGTCATACAGTTGCTACAGCCAGCAGCGATATTGAAGAGAATAGTTCGTATGAGCCTCAATATCTCTCAGAATCTATACAACAACAAATAAATTCCGTGCAGCAACCTCAACAGCAACATAAGGACGGACCAGCTTATTTTACTGTAAAAAGTGTAAGAACACTAGAACAGTACATTGAGTTTTTTGGCGTGATTTTGTTTACACCTAAGTTCTCTGAGTTCTTTAAAACTAACGTGAATGAAGTGTATAGAAATAACAATGTATTGTTGAAGCTAAACAGTTTCTATATTAAAATCTCTTCTTCCTAAAAATGTCTGCTCACATAATAATAGTTTTAGCTACTAACATACCTTATCAATTACTTGATCCACTTTTTTCAAAATATGTTTTCATTTTCTCTGCATTTTAGAGTTCATCTGACGATGCTTTCAATCATTCAGTTCTACAATGTGCGCCTGGTTACTTCATTCCTACGGGATTAGATCAAGGCTCACAACCTCTAACACATACTACAAGAGCATCACCAGCAACAGTCCAGTGGTTGGTCGATAATTTTGAGCCCGCTGAAGGTTGTTCTCTTCGTCGTTCAACACTCTATTCATTTTATTTGCAACATTGTTCGGAGCAAAAACTTGAGCCTGTAAATCCAGCAAGTTTTGGAAAATTAATTCGATCTGTGTTTTTGGGTTTGAGGACTCGTCGTTTGGGTACTAGGTAAATATTCTGTTGAGCAATGTAAGACGTTGTCTAAAAATTGATTTTTTATTATTGTAGAGGCAATTCCAAATATCATTATTATGGAATACGTGTGAAGAGCACTTCAACTTTAAATCAATTTAGTGACGAACATGGTGAACTTATATTTCGGGGTCAACATCACTTTCCAACTATAAAAAAGTACGTTAAAGTATACGAAAGAAAAATTAGTAAAAAGCAGATTTGAAAGATTAATATTTTTTTGTTTTAGACGTCGGTCAACATCGCATGATACATCTTTATCACCGCCTGAAAATAAACCAACAATCTGTTCTACTCAAAATCGATCGTATTCATCGCATACATCTTCCATTTTATGCGAATCAGAAATAAAAGCTGATCAACAACAACAATATACATCAGAAACAAGTAAGAAAGATGCGATGTACTCGGTATATTTTTATGAATTATTGTTTTGTTTATTTATTTTAGGTGGAACTAATATATTTGAATCAATTCAAATTAATTTGTCAACTATACTAACAACTGGTGTTACTCATGATGATTTGAAAAGATTTGAGGATTTATATAAAGGCCATTGCTTAGTATGTATTATACACAATCTTGTGAATAATTGTTAAAAAATTATTCACTCGCCAAATAATCATGAAGTTCTCCTTCATTTTCTTTTCTTTTCTTAGAAACTATTCGATGTAATTACAAATTTACAGTTTACATCTGTTGAGCCAATATGGCTGAATTTTTGGCAATCATCCCTAGCTAGTAGTCAAAGGTGAGATATGAGAGAAAAGAAGGATAAAAATATCTTCAAATAACATTAGTTTCTCTTGTAACTTTTTAGTGATGTTCAAAATTCTAATCCATTTTCCAATATTCAATTTCATAATCTATGTTCAATGGTGCAAGTTCAAGACTTCATTCGTCTTTGTGATTATCAATTGTATCAACAATTAGTCAAGAGACTGATTACAGATATTCTCAGCCCAATGCCAGGTAGAATTAAACAAAACGTATTTCACGAAACCTATTATAACTTAGATAGTATTATGAAATCTCAAAATAAGTTTTTGTTACTTGTGTTTTAGGTCCAATAACTCAGTCGATTCGTAATTTTGGTAAAGGTTTAGATTCCTCATTGCAAACAGCCATCGCACATATGCCCGAAAGGTTAAAAATGATCAAGGTAACTAGTATAAACGTCGGTTCAACATTTTCAAATTAATTAATTTTTGTGCTCTAGTTAACGATCGTGAATATCTTCGCTACAACACTACGTCGATACACGTCGTTAAATCATTTAGCTCAAGCTGCGAAAGCCGTTTTAAATAATGCATCACAAGTTCAACAGATGTTACAAGATTTAAATAAAGTCGATTTTCGTAATGTGCAAGTAAGTGGTATACACAAAATTGCTTGTTGTAAAAATAATGTAGGAGATTGAAGAAAGTAAAGTACTACCGCTGGAAAGATATTGAGCTAAGCACATCATCAGAGAGCCCACAGTATCTACTATCAGGATCCAATATTATTTGGCCCTCATCGAAGCGGTATGGAGGTTTTCAGATAAGTTTTCTGAAAATCTTGAAAAGCTGACTTTTCGAAAAACTTTTACTTTCTAATAAAAAGCAAATGCAAAAATATTTTCAACAACGCCAGGAAATAGAGAAAATATTACTGATCAAAATGAAATATTTCCCAGCTCTGAATGATGTTCTAGTCAAGAGTTATGTGAGTTTTGCTGGAAGCCCCAAAACATGCATTAGATACTGGCGCCACCATATCTCGAAAGAGACTTTCACCTTAATACCATTTCGTAGCTGCAAGATTTCTCGGTAGAAGAGAGCTCGGGAAGGCCTCAAATTGAAGCTGACACATGTGGCTAGAGGTTAGTAGAGTCCGATTTTTGATATTCGGTCTAGATTTGTGGTTAGAAAAATATCCTTATGCAGTGATTAGCAAGTTTTTCTCAGTTTAGTAAATAATGCAGCGTGTTGCTCTTTCTTTAAAATTTAGTGTTTTTTGTTGCTCACCTTGTACGTATGCGTTTAGGAGCAAGCATCATGGGTTTGTGAATGTGATGACGTAGTTGTTCAACGTTTAGAAATTGAGTTTAAACAGCAGTTGCAATCTCAGGTAACATTAGAAGGATGGGCACAATGGCTAGACACTGTTGTAACAAATATTTTGAAACCCTGTCACAACTCTCCTACAACGACACACGATTCACAAACATACATAAAAATGGCAAAACAATTTTTACTCAATTGGTCATTTTATTGGTATGCTTTCTGTTACTATTGACGAATTTTGAAATCTAAGTCTTCAAATGAAAATACTACAAACATTCTAGTTATTTTATCTATTTTGTATTCTAGTTCAATGGTAATTCGTGATTTGACGTTGAGAAGTGCAGCCTCGTTTGGATCATTCCATTTAATTCGTTTACTTTACGATGAATACATGTTTTATTTAATTGAACATAAAATTGCTGAATATATGGAGAAAACGCCCATTGAAATCATGGCCGAAGTAAGTAATCTTTAAATTAGTTTTGTATCATATGTTGAATCATGATTGTTTCTCTTACCTTAGTCTGTTTTGCAATCAAAATTAAATATTCATGATGATGTCGGTCAATCAAGTTCTGCTCAAATTGTCCAGACGAACAGTGCACCCTTTTCTACCACAGCAAACTCAACCACAGGCTCAAATGGAATTGAATCTACTATAAATATCGAACGACGAAATATTATGGCTCATAAAGTAGCTTTAGTTGTCAAAAAAACGCCACAAATTGATGATAATAATTCAACGGGTACAATGAGCGGAGGACAAAATCAGGTACGAGAACAATTCTAACTAGAACGATGTCGTATTCACAATCTCACATATTTTTTCACTTAGGCCAAAATCGTGACGTTATCTGCAGAGAATCTCCAGTTACCATTTTTTAATAAAATGATTCAGGCGACCTCTGTTTTTAAAGGGACACCCTCTGTTCAAGTTCTTTCGTTGAATGCACTATCTACTACAGATGAATCTAATACTACCGGTGGATCAACCATAATTTTAAATTCTTTACTTAAACCATCGTTTGTTACTACGCCTGTGCTGCAACGTCCTATCTTAATCGAAGGTGAAAACAAAGGTCAAGAACTACAGTTGATTACCAAACGTTTGAAATCCGAACATGAACGTCCAGAGACAGTAACAGTTGTTGAAAGGTAACAATAACTTGTCAGATAATTCTACATAAATGATCTGATTTTATTCATTTTTTATGTGAATAATTTGTGATTGTTCATATTTTTCGTTAACAACATTTTTCGACTATATCTTATCACCCTATACTTTTTGTATGAGGTAGAGAAGGCAATTTTATTTTTGATAGAGGAATATCTGTTATTTAATGTCTGATGAAAATAAGTATTCTGTTTTGAGAAACCTCTTGCATTTAACTAGATGATCTTTAAAATCAGTATACCCAAATCCAGCTTTTCGAAATCAGGAGTTTTTCGTAAAAAATCAGGGGTTGATCAGGAGATATTTTTTCGAAATCAGGAGAAAAACAAATGAGTATCAGGCAGTTTTTTCTTGGACAAGCAAAACAAAAAAATCTAATAACTTTTTCGAAAACATAGCTTTTATTAGAAAAAATTGTTTTTTGAAATTTTTTTTGATGAAACCGTATTATCATTTGCTACAGACTGCAGTACAGATTGAGGAAGAAAATATTAAGATTTTGAATGGGTTCGGAAGTTCACTAATCTCGTCTTCTTGTGATGAGAACATTCGATAAGCACATAGCAGACTCTTTCAATTTACAATTATTTAGACTCTTAATCCAGAAATTCTGTTTCTGAAACTGATAATCTCAGTTTTGAAAAAAACAAAAATCGATGCAGGAAAACAATTGAAAATCAGGAGAAAATCTTAAAAATCAGTTTGTGAAATCGGGAGAATTTTCATCAAGAAAAAGGTCTAAAAATCAGGAGTCACTTGGTCAGATCAGGAGATTTGGATACTCTGGTTAAAATCCATTATTCACACATTATGCAAAGCAATAGTTTGCTTACAAAGTGGCAAGTAACAAAACTATATGTATAAGATTGAAAATAAAGTATTTTCTTTACATAAACGACGTGTATAACCGATATTTTTAAAAAAAGAATCTGTTTTTTCAGAAAACGGGAATGTCTTTATATGTAAATAGTAGATCTTTTCAGTTTATTTCTTCTTGAACGGGAGCTTTTATCCCGTTTTTTGTCTGTGATTGTGTATTTTAGTTGAACAGTTTGTTCTATGGATAACGTGTATCTATAAAAAAAAGATGTTTGTATATATATTTTTGAGTTTTATTCTTCTTATATGTATTTCGATTTTGTAGTGTCTTTAGAAAATGATCTCATGTAGACAGATGCTCTTTTGCTTGCTTGACTTTTGATAAGATAAAATAAACAACAAGCAATAATTGAACAAATTGTTTTCCATTTTATCTAGTGATTGGTAATACCAACTATACTATGTGTAACATTGATTGATTTGAAAATTTTTGAACGCTACTGTTAAACCAAGTGACACAATAAAAAAGAAAAAAACATTGAAATTTCGACTAGAAAGAAGTTAATAGATTTAGAATACAATATACGATATATGTTTACTATTTACTCAAGTCGCTAAAAGTAAATCTAATTACTGTTAACGACAGATTATGAAGGACACCATGTTGAAACTGCTAGTGTACATTTTTAATACTGAAACTCTGACCATGAATCGATGATTCGAAAGCTCAGAGAAAATTTATTAAATGAATTTAGCTGCAATGTATAATAAAAGACAAACTTTTACTGTAAAAGTCCCACCATTAACGAAACTCAATGGAAGCTGAAAGCTTCCATCCTATAAATCAAAATGTTTGCCACGATGATCAGGATATGCGAAAATCTATAATTCGACTATTTTTAATCTCTTCAGAACGGTCCAGACGATTCATCGTCAGAGTTACAGTATTAAAAATGCACACAATTAAAACTACAACAATCAATAAGGCTAAGAACATTATTCTATAAATATATGTATCAATGTTATTAAAATTAGATTTCAAATCTGAAATAAACATTGCCACGATGATCAGGATATGCGAAAAAAAAAATGTTTTTGTAGAGCATTTCGCAGCGCATCTTTTTAAAAAAACATTAACCTTTGGGTCCTAAAAAAACACGAGAAAAATAGAAAATATTGAGATGCCACACTCATTACAATTTCTGAGAATCTGACGATGAGGGGGCCGTCATTACACTCAGTGTATTTTTCAGCAAATAAATGCAAGATCAGATTTAAATATACAGAGTTGTAGAGAATTCCAAGCGCTATCAGAATATGTGATCATTTTTGTAAAAGTATATTTTCGCAAGGAAAATATCTTAGAAATGCTGTGTGCAACTGTTTTTTTCCACGAGGATATGTCAACACCGCCCAGCATCGGTGTCACTCGCCACTGGTTTGGTACGGGTGCGCACTATTTGGTATGCGATCGGATAGCACAAAGTTGTATCAAACAGTGTAATATAACGGCGTACCCAGCCAAAAAAAATCTAGACTGGGCTCAGTCCAGGACTTTCTCAAAAAAGTAAATGGGAAATAATGCAAACTTTTCTTTTGTCGAACAAAGGTTGATAGAAAAAGTTATCTCTGTTCAGAACACAGGTGAAATTGGTGTAGTTTGTAAAACTCATATTTTTGTATATCACGTAAGAGATGCTCGCTAGTACAACAGCGTAATTTTTACTGTTTTAAGAATGCTAGTTCAATTTAACATAATTCTACTGTTTTTATGTTTAATGGCAAATAACACAACGACAAAATAACCTGATATTTACCAGTAATAAATGCGTTATGTATACGACTTTTACTCAAAAGTAAAGATTTGCAAAGTAATTATACAAATTAAAGGCTATTTCTTTCAAGAACTTCAAGAAGTCAAGTCCAGCAAGTGACTACACCACTAACTCTAATACCTTCAACTCTTTTTCTCGTTAACTGTGCTTGACGTGAAAAATCCCTGTTTGTATGCGAATGAGTACATGTTTTCTGCTTAAATATGAGAAGTCCCTCTAACGAATTTGAGTCTCACAAGATAATTCAACTCTGTGAATTCAATCCTGTGAATGACCAATGAGTAGCATTCGTCAGGCCACGGACCAAATCTTTGCCAGTGACTAATTATATTTCATTCGCACTGACTGCGCTGCTATCTCTGCTATCGATTTCACAGAATGAGTTAGTACTTTATAGTAGCTCACATAAGCTAAGCTTCCATCATTTATCGGAAGGGAATTACTTGTTAAGTACTTGTCATTGATCGAAATACTTGCCTTATTGCTAAGAAGTACTTTCTGAAAGTACTTGGCAAGTAGGGACAAGTACTTACAAGTAAATTTACTCTTTAAAAAAAGGCAAGTACCGGCTTCATTACGCAGACGAAGTACTTGCTCCAAGTACTTGGCCCCAAGTACGTTCTCTAAGGGTATCATCATCCAACTTTATCGAATCAATAGAAAAACGTTGTCACACTTTCAGCAGTGGGAAACCATAAAACACCTATAGCTACGCCAAAGCGGAATGAAGTTCTGTGAAGTGTGAAGCTTTTTTTAATTATGTCAAACAACGAACTTCGTTAAATTGCATAATATTAAACATAAGCTGCATATTTTAGGTAAATTCTACTTCGATATTCATGATGAGCGCAACAGATGCTATCAAATGGTATGATTTAAGCGATCCTTCTGTCTACGTTTGGCGAGGAGAAGCACACCGTATTGAAAATAATATCAAATACAAACATTTCAGCTGCTGAGGTTTTTCTTCCTGTTATTCCAGATTGTTATCGAAAGCTTCAGTTTTTGTTCTTAAATAAAAATCAATGATTTTTGTTTGCATACGCTTGTTTTTTTTGTTGAGCTATATTACTATAAACAATACACCAACATATAGAACTAAAAAATATCCTCAAAACATCTACTGTTCATCACCGTCGGTCGAGTTGATGCTTTATCCATTTTTTGTACTTTTATTTGCTGGCAACTGAAAACACAGGAAAACTGAAAAGACTTATTTTCAAATTTCACTTTATCATCAAAACTGTGCTTACTTTTGAAAATTATCATCAATGGTACGTTTGTTTTGTACATAATGATCTAAAAATTATGTTAACTGATGAAAACATGATGGTGATCGAGAGTTTTGTTACTTACCACAACTAACATTTGTTCGACCTTGTATTATCTCTTGTGCTTGTTCAAATATAGTTTCTATTAAAGAAAACAAATAAAATGCATAACAAAAAAAAATATTTTAGTCGTATTTGTACCATCACTAAAACAATCAGTGACCACCTCTGAATGCGGATAATATTTAATCTGATTTGTTGTTCCATCACAAAATCGAAATAACAATTGAAAATGGTTAGTACGAGGTGGAATATACAACTCTATACATAAAGAGACAGTTGTTTTAGATAGAATTATTGAACCCGTCTCTTTTTTACCCGTAATCATACAATTATTTGTCGTTGGCAAACATGGTCGAAAATTTTCGTTGGGATTTTCTGAACGAACAATAGTTAAATCAAATCTGAAAGAAAATAAACGATTATTACTACGGATAGAAGTACCATTCACAATACAGAGTATGTATCACATAACCTTGCTACCACACTGAATATCTGTAACGGTTTTTTGCAGTTTTTTTCTTATAATTTTTGAACTCTGACGAGGGAAGGACACCAACTGATAAATCGCTTTTGAGCCGTAAGGTAGTGGACAATAGGTAATCAAGTGCACTGAATCCGAATATGGCAATCGTTTCGGCCCATAGCCCTCCTGAGACCGGAT